CGGGGTGCGCCGCGATGGGGCGGGGCCGCCACCGGGGCCTTCGGCGGAGCTCCCTGTTGGGCCACAAAACGCTGTATTGGGTGGGGGAAGCGCATGCGACGCCGTGGAGCTCCCTATGGGGCCACGAAGCGCTGTACTGGGTGGGGGTCCCGCGTGCGAGAGCCGCCGCTGGGGCCTTCGGTGGGGCTTCATATGGGGCCACGAAACACTGTATTGGGTGTGGTCCCGCATGCGTGAACAGCCAGTGGGGCCTTCGGTGGAACTCCATGTGGGGCCACGAAGCGCTGTACTTGGTGGGGGTCCCGCGTGCGAGAGCAGCCGCCGGGGGCTTCGGTGGAGCTCCCTGGGGGGCCACGAAGCGCTGTACTGGGCGGAGGTCCTGCGTGCGAAAGTGGTCATTGGGGCCTTCGGTGGAACTCCCTGTGGGGCCACGAAGCGATGCACTGGGGTGGGGGAGACGCGCGCTGACGAGGCAGAGGCAAAGAGGGGAAGAGGGAGGGGGGAGGAGGGCGGGAAGAGGGCGGGAGGTGACGCGGGGCGTTGTCTCTTCAAAACGAGGACCCAACACCGCAGGATGGTTGGGAAAGACTTCGCGCCAGCGGCGCGCTTTTTTGATGGCCCACAACATAGATTTTCCTGTTTGAACAGGTAACAGATTCTACCCCCCCGAACTTTTCGGTTCACTTATTCGTGTTGCAATTTGCATATGATTCTGCCCCATCGTCCATCCTAACAACGAATTCGCATTATCCCAAGGGGCCGACATCCCCCCCCGCCATCTTCCGCAAACAAATACTATGCGCGCGCATTCGTTAATCAACAACCCTCACTTACCAAGAGTCCCTTGCAACAAATGGGACGAAGTGAACACGCGTGCGTCGTCGCGCGCGCATGTCGGAATCCTTCAACAACCTTCGGTGTCGGAAGAATTTCAAAATCGAGTATCAACAATGCGTGCAAAACCACAGGGTTTCGCAACGCGGATTTCCCCAAAAAAGCTTGCGCGCGCGCATTCGCGAATTCTTGAGAAAACCATCGGTTTTCATTCTTTCCAGATAGTGCTACCAAACGGGCTTCGCGCGCGCATGTCGAAATCGTTCGAACGCTCTTGCGCGCGTGCCGTCGCAATAATCCTTTGGAGCACATTAGACGGAGTGCACGCGCGCGCGCGTCGTCGCGCGCGCGTGCCGAAATCCTTCGACAGCCTTCGGTTTCGGAAGGATTTCAAAATCGAGTGACCAAAAGTCGAGTTTGCGCACGCGTCCTTGCAAATTCAGACAGCCAACGGCTTTCACCATGTTTAGAAAATGCTACCAAACGGGCTTCGCGCGCGCACGTCGAAATCGTTCGAACGCCTTGACGCGCGTGCCGTCGCGATAACCCTTTGGAACAAGTTGACGGAGTGCACGCGCGCGCGTCGTCGCGCGCGCATGCCGAAACCAGTCAAACTCCTCCAGTTTCGTAACGATCTCACAACCGAGCGCCCAAAACATATAAACGCATGGTTTCGCAACATCGGTTCTCAAGAATAGATGCGCTCGCGCTCTTGCCCTTTATTAGTTGCTATGAGAGTATGGTTATTTGGGCAACATAAAAAAGGTGAATAAATGAATAAGCAAATAACATACCATCGGCTTCTCAACATGTAGCATGGAATTCTGCCAAGCGGGCCTCTGGCGCCGCATGCCGAAATCATTCGCACGCCCTTGCGCGCGTGCTGAGGGGGCGCGAGCCGTGTCACATAACACCATGCGGGCCACTGAACGCAGCCACTGGGGCCTTCGGTAGGGCTGCCTATGGGCCACGAAGCGTGTAAGGGGTGTGCCGAAATTTGTGCGGTGGGCGCGTGAGAATGCAGCCACTGGAGCTTTCGGTGGAGCTCCCTATGGGGCCACGAATCGTGGGCGGGGTCTGCCGACATGGGTGCGGTGGGCGCATGCGAGCGCAGCCATTCGGGCCTTCGGTGGAGCTGCTTATGTGGGCACGAAGCGTGTGAGGGGTGTGCCGAAATTTGTGCGGTGGGCGCATGCGAACGCAACCACTTGGGCTTTCGGTGGGGCTCCCTGTGGGGCTACGAAACGTGTGAGGGGTGTACTGTTGTTGATGGCGATGATGGTGATCATGGCGGCGATGGTGATGGCGATGATGGTGTTGATGGCGGCCATGATGATGATGACGGTGATGCTGATTGTGATGGTGAGGTCGATGATGATGATGATGCTGATGATGATGGATGGGGGGAGGAGGGGGGGAAAGGACGGAAGGCATGAATGAGCGACGTGGGGCGCCGTCTCTTCAAAACGAGGACCCAACACCAAAGCATGGTTCGGAAAACACATTGTTTCGCAACGATGATTTTCAAACAAAATTTGCGCTCGCGTTCTTGCAATCTTTTCAGAAAGCCATAGGTTTGATTGTCAACCTTTTCATAGCACACTTCCGAATTGGCCTCTCGCGCGCGCATGTCGAAATCGTTCGAACGCCCCTGCGCGCGTGCAGTCCCCAGAACCCCCTGCAGCAAATGGGACGGAGTGCGCGCGCGCTCGTCGTCGCGCGCGCATGCTGCAACCCTTCAAAAACCGTAGGTTTCGCAAGGATCGCAAAATCGAGAGTCACGAAAGCTTATAAACCATGGTTTTGTTACATCCGTTTTCAAAAACAGCTTGCGCCCGCGCTTTTGCGAATGTTTTAAAATATCGTGGGGTTTTCAACATTTCCACCAAATTCTGCCAAGCGGGCCTTCCGCGCCGCATGTCAAACTCATTCGAACGCCCTTGCGCGCGTGCTGGGGGGGGGCACGATCCGTGCCGAATAATACCATGCGCGCCACTCGCGCGCGTCGGCCGCGCGCGCATTTCGAACTCGTTCAAAAACCTTCATCGCCGACGCGACGAGATCGTCATCGTTACCGGCTGGCGTGATCAACATCGGCGCCGCCATTGGCCTTGCCGTCGTCATCGCCACCATCGTCACCATCATCATCTCACAATCGTGTCAACCGTTGTCGGCGTCGCCATGATACCGCGCTTGCCCAAGATACCGGAACTCACTGAAGTGCCCGCTGGGACGTGCCCAGCGGCCAGCGCCACCGCGGTTGCGTCGGTCGGGCCAAGCTGGCTGGCCGTCATGCGCGCGAGCATGCGCGGGTTAGCGCGGCCGCACAGATGCACCAGCCAACGCCAAGTATTCATCGCAATTGCCGCCGCTTGAGTTTTGCAAACCAAGTTGCGGGTGGGTGGGTGGGCTGTTTGTAAAAACTTGGAATTTGTCAATCCATTTGTAAAAATCAATTGCACAACATAGGTTGCACCACATATATATATATATTGCACGACGTAGATTGTTCCACATCGGTTGCATGACATGTTTTGCACCACGTAAGCTGCGAACGCCATAGATTGCCCCACACATTGCACACCATATAGTGCACCACGTATTTTGCACCACGGAGATTGCACCACATAGATTGCGCCTCGTATACCGCACCACGTAACATGTTCAATGTATGAATGTGTCTATATATATGTATATATGTATATATATATATATATATATATAGATATATGTATGCGTAGGTATGTATGGCGAGAGACACACTGTTTGGGGTCCTCGCTGGCTAACCTTTCCTTTCGGTCTGCGGAGCTGTTCAGGGCCAGTGATGCGCACCAGCAGCGGACTGCCTCACGTGCATGTTTATCTCGCCCCATTGTTGCAATCGCGCCCACGACGGCAAATGGCGCGGGAGCAGCTGAGTTAAAGAGGGCAGGGGCTCCGTGTGCAGGGTTTTTGATAACATACGCGTTGCCCCATGAATCGGGCCTTTGGATCTCGTGGTTTGCCTGCAGATATGCTGGTTGCCTTGGCACCATGAGGTCAGAAAGACAGCTTCTTAAGTTTTTTTTTTTTTTTTTTTTTTCTTTTCTCTCTCTCTCTATATTTTGCTGGTCTGAGCTTGACTTCTTGGCTGTAAGCCTGTCCAGGCTCTCTGTCTGTGGATCGCCCCCATTCGGACTCCTGTGACGTCGGTTCCTTCGCGCCCTGCGTTCGCTATTGTACAGTTCGTGAACCTGGTTCGGTGCGCCTTGCTTCCGTCTTCAATCGGGCTGATGCTGTAGCGGGGCTGTGTTCTCCCATGCATTCACGTTCTCTCGTTGTGGTTCGCCCGCCTTCGCCCTGCTGGCGCTTCGTGCCTCTCTTTCCCTTGCCGCTTGTCTCGTCGTACTCCTTGCCCCGCCCTGGGGCCTTGCCCTCGCTGTCCGTGAGTGTAGGTGCTGAGCTCATGTGCCTTGGCATCTCGCGGTTCGATGTGCCTACTTGTGGCTGCATCCTCTCTGGCAGCGTGCCCAAACATGTATATGCGTTTATGGGCTCCCAGCCTGCTCCCTTTCCCCTGGGGCCTCCCCCCCACCCTCCTCGGTGCAGCGCTCGACTCGCCGCTCAGGCGAGAGTCTCTGCCAAGCTTGCAGTTTGCGCTGCTGAGTCTTTGTGTTCCCGCTCATCTTGGAGTCTGGGTACCGTTGACGATGCTGTAGCGCAGGCCCGCCTTCCGGTGATGGGCTGGCCCCCCCTGCTCTCCCGCTGGGTCGCCCCCACTCGTCTCCACGGTAGCGTCTGTGGCCCCTGTCCTGGTGCCGCTTGGTGGCGGCGCAGAGTGGCAGATCCCCGCGCACTCTCGGGTGCCACCCGCCGCGCCCCCTCGCCTGGACACCTCGGAGCACCGCGCTCCGCGCGTGCCTCCGTGCGACGACGACGACGACGACCTCCCTCCTCCTCCTCCTCCTCCTCCTTCCTTCTCGTCCTCCTCGCTCCTTCCTCCTCCTCCTCCTCCTCCTCCTCCTTCCTTCTCGTCCTTCTCGTCCTCCTCGACGACGACGACGACGACGACCTCCTTCCTCCTCCTCCTTCCTTCTCGTCCTCCTCGCTCCTCCCTCTCCTCCCCCCCCCTCGACCACGACGCCGTCGCGGAGGCCGGCTCCGCCCCCCCCCCCTCCCCCTGACAG